ATTTTGAACTGTGAATCATGCAAAGCTAGTCTGGTTGAGTCCAGAGCTTGAAAGTTCACAGCTCCAGCTCCAACTATAATTTCTTTCTCTTAACTTTATAGTTGATGCACTAAGAAAAAATTACATCAACTCTTCCAATAACTCTAGGACTGTCTTCAAAATGTATGATTATACACTTAAATGTTCACGTGTTCCTGCTCTGGAATGCCAAGGACTTCACTTCCCTTACGTGGTCGAATCAGTAAATGTAATCCAGACAACAGCTGCGTTTTCTTAAACCCTCTGACTCGCTGACAGGAATTCGGATCATCTTTGTATTTAATGGGGAGTTTCTCCTTTAAGTGAGACCATTTTGGGGGATTTCATGGGAGCTCATCAGGGTTGTACTATGTGACTCGACAGACTTGGCATCCCATCATCTGAGGGCACCTTCATGAAATGTTTCAATTTACAGAGGGTGCATGGCAGGGGTGACGGCGCTTCATTACACCACACTGTAACCCGCGAGCCGAGCCTCAGGGTCATCTGTTGATCCGATCGCTTCGTTCTGACTGTTCATCTACCCGCCGGCGACCCTCGCCGCAGGCCTACTGCTAATCGACTCTCTGATTGATCGCCACCTCATAACAAAGCAAACCAAACTGCAGCGATTTTCCATCAGTCAGTCAATTGCCGATGTGGATGGGTCATGCTCTTTTTCTTTGTGAAACAAAGCGGCAGGATGTCGTTCACAGAGCGGGCGTCACCAACATTGTTAAGAGGAATAAGAGGCTCAGAGCTTTGGAGTCTTTTTCTTGACTTGAATTGATGGTTTGACAGTCGATTATGTGCTGAGGGGTTTGAGAAGCCTCGTGCTTTTTAAACCTGTAATTTGGGAAATGCAAGAGTGTCACTGAGGAAACCACTTCACTGTTTTTTTGTTCTATGAAAACACCGTAAAATGGCTTTATTCACTAAAAGTAGCATCCAGCCAATAAAATATTCACTCATCTCGCTTTGGATCTGCTGTCCCTTTTGTTGGCGACATTTCTTTTGTGCCTTTTATTGTTTCTTGCTGTTGATGTTTATTTGAAAGATTTTAATTTTTATTTCCCCAATTTAAAACAAGTATGCAGTCAATATTGGTGACGGTATTTATGTCACCTCTGTTATTGTGATGTCTTTCCTACAAAAAAAATTTTTTTTTAGTATACGTGAAAAAAAGAGAATGGTGTTCTCAAGTTAAGTTAAAAAAAAACCCAAACAATAACCTGCACAACAAAACGAGACATCATTTACTCATACTGTGGTCGTGTTAAAATATTCACCATCATAAGAAAAAAATCCAACCTAAGATTTAAAACAAAATCCTATACTAGCAAGTGCAGGAAGTCTTAAGAAATTCTCCTTTGTGGTGTGTATGCAAGTGCAACGCATTCCATGAAATAAATGAAAAAGACCTGCAGAACACAAGCGCGAAGACTATAAAGAGAGCAAAATTAATTTGGTTGTTCCAACTCTCATTCTCCAAATCTCTCTAATTAAATGCCCGAGTGGTGAACGCTCATTTGTATCCACAAAAAGTGCAGCCAATATTCCTCCAGCACCCACGACTCTGTCCTTTAGCAAAAGAAAACAGATGAAATCCAGAGTCAGAGATAATGGCTTCACAAAACATTTCATCAGAGTGCGTCTCGGATTGGTCAGGTGAAAATGACCTCAGTGTGAAAAGAAATCTCAAGGTTGTTTAGAAAAGCGTCAAAAAGCAAAAGAAAATCGAGGAAGACGAATCTTTTTGTCTCTAACGAACTGCTGATAAGCAGCCCTCAGGAGATGGTGAAAAAACAGAAATCACAGATTCTTTGACTCCAGTGAATCTGTCACTGAGTCCACTTACAGGGCTGAAAAAAAGAGGCTCACAGTGAATCTTTAAAGTATTAGGAGGACTCATTGTTTAAAATCAATTGAAAAAGCATAGTGTGTACAGGCTGAGCTTGTTCACGCCCTTAAAAATGGCTCCACCACTTTTCCAGTCACCCCACCTCTGCAGGAGTGGAAGTAGATGCTTTAGCCCCGTCCAGCTTTTAAAATGTTACACAACTATATAGTTATAAAGTATAATTAAGTTTTCAATAGTAAGCCTTTTTAGGGAAACTGTCCCCTTTCAGGATGTCATGCTAGTCCTCCATGTATGTTTGTCTGCTCGTCTGTACAATTACACCCGAACCTCAAAGCTGAGCTTCGTGAAGCTTGGAGAAGAAGCCGATAATGTCTGGTGCAGAAGGAGGTGCAGTTTTTACTCTGAGAGAGGAAACCACGTCTCTAAGGCTACTTTCAGTAAAACGATACAGGCTGTGTGTGATCATCATCATAAGAAGTTTCAGTTTATTAGTCGTGTAAATATTCTGGCTGTAGAAGCTGATTTAGTAGTGAAAAGTATATTTTGCTGAGGAACGTAAAAGAGACGAGCATAAGAATCAGTAAATAAGTGTAATGTACTGTGTCATTTGTTCCCAGTGAAGAAGAAGCTCAAGAAGCAGCGATAGTCGTCGCCGGTCAGGCTTATGCTTATTAACGGCGTAGAGGTTGAACTGGCAGCACAAAGTCAGACTTTCTCCTTACTTTGCAAATGTGTCTTCTGCTTAGCTTTGGAAACTGAACATATATCTAAGTTCGTGTGAGACACGCCTTTATTCTTTAATTCCGCAGCATTAATCCGCTCAGAACAACAACAGAGTCACGTCATCCACGCTGCTCTGCAGCTCTGAGCCTCTCTTCAAAAAAGGAAAATGCTGTCTGATTAACTCTGGTCATTTCTGCAGATTTATTTATTTTTCTATTCCATTAAAAGCATGAAATAGCAGAATCACTACAATTTCCTGGTCATCTTTTATTGTTTGACTTTTAAATTGTGTATCCAGCAAGGCCATGTTTTACCAGCCCACCGCCTCAATCTGCTTGTTTTATATCCAAGCAGTTTTCTTCTGTTGTATTTTCTTCTTTCTTCTGTCATCTTTCTTTCTTGATTTTGTGAAAATGAACTTGCTAAAATATCTGTGTGCAATAGGAGCGTTTTTCTAAAAACACAAGCTGAACTTCATCTGTGATGCTGCTGTTGCTCAAACTCAAACTTTCATGTAAGAACTGAGGTTTAGACTCCGGTGGTGCCACACTTTGAACGGCAGGTGGATGACTGGTGTTCTGCTATTTCATCACGCGGTCCTGCTGCCACTGTCACATCAGCCGATCGTCACAGAGTGCATTCAACTTTCACAACCCATTGCTTGTTTTTCTGATCACCACATGAAACAGTTACCACAGCACCTTGGAAATGGGACTTTCCATTTTATACTGATAATATCATTTGCAACCAGAACCTGCACATTAGTGATCAGAGGATGGAGATATAGCCATAGTAAGGCCCACTGGTCTTTGGCCGAAGCAGGGTTAGGGCTTCCACAGCTCCAGTTCAAGAACTCCAATTAGCTGAGGTGAAGCCTAGCAGCCGCCTGTGTCACCATTTACCTGTCAGTCAAAAAGGCCACGCCCCTAATAATTCAAACTTTAAGCCTTAACTAAGTTGAAATAATTTGACTTTAAAAATATCATCCTCATAGAAAAAAAATTTGGAACAGGCTGTAAATGTGTTTATTATGTAAATCTGAACATTTTAACATGATTCACCTTTGGAGCCTCGAGTGGCCACTGGAGGAACTGCGGCTGTTGGTACTTGAACGTTGGCTACACTTTAAGTCCCAGAAGTTGCCGATTATGGCTATGCTGACTTCAAAGGAGCTTTGTGTAGTTTGTGTGGTGTCACTGATACCAAATTTCAACCTTAATTTCAACAGACAAACTCTAGTTGCAATTTTTTTTGTTTTCATTCTCATATAATTTAAGAAACACCGAGGGACAAAATGTTGCCCGGTGCTTTTCACGTTCCACAGATAAAACCCTGTGACTTTTTGGTCCATTCAGTAGACTACCTATGAGTTTCAGTGGTTTCAGTAAATGTAAACACGATTTGCAGTTTTTCGTGCAGGTTCACAATCACAATCGAAGAGTTATTCATGAAGACGCTGACCTCCATCTGCAGCTGTTCTACAGTCACTGAGAACAAACTGTACACGTAACCACATGCAAATCCATCAGGAAGGCATTTGATTGGTCCCAAATTTATTCTAGAGTTGCACAAAGAGCCCAAACATCCAGGCAGAGTCATAAAGAACTAAGTTCAGACAAAATACTGTGTGAAAGTATACTCAGGAGAACTGGTGCTCTTTAAAAGGCAAGGGGTGGTCACAGCATTGAGATCCTCTCTCTGTACTGCAGTATGCAGGAAGTTTACTGATTAATTACAGCTGTTCATGGCATTCATTTATAACAACTCTCACTTTAAATCTTTTGAGCTTTTATATAATACTATGTGTGTGTGTGTGAGTGTGTGTGTTTGACTCACGCCATGACAATGACGCTGAAGTCGAGCCAGTTCCAGGGGTCCCTCAGGAAGGTGAACGGTCCCACACAGAAACCTCTGGCCAGGATCTTAATGAGAGACTCAAACGTGTAGATACCTGTGAAGGTGTACCTGAATGAGGGATGATAACGTTTATCAGTATTGGAGGGGAAGGGAGTCATGTTGCGATGAAACAAAATGAAAAGGATAGAAAAGAAACAGCAAAAATAAAAGAAAGGATCACAAAAAGAGAAAAAAGAGGAAGGATGAGGGCACAGAACTGGACAGTAACAAGGTAAAGGAAGAAAATACGACAAATGCTTGTCCAGACGAAGAGCAGGGCAGAAAGAAAGAGAAAGTTACGGATGTGGAAGAAGTGAAGGACAAAGAAAGACAAAATGAAGAAAAGAAAGAAAGCCGGATGAGTGGAAGAGAGAGCTAGAATAAATATTCATAAAACTCTCCACCACACATCCTTCACTTATTTATTTTGTCCCCAGAAACAAGTTTGACCCGACTCATGACAATTCAACCGTACAAAGACAGGCAGGAGCGCAGAGTCTGTCACGTTAGGCCTGACCGAGTAGCTGCAGCAGCAGCAGCCTCCACAGCTGGAAGCCAGCGATGAACTACTGTACATTAAAGGGTCTGTTCACCAAAAATATGCATTTTTCCAATGATCCCTGAATGTGCTGCAAAGGTAGCTTTAGTTTAAAAAACTGTCCTATTGAAATAAATGGAATTCAGTCCCAAAGCATCAAAGACGTGCTTTTACTTTTCAATTCAGCAGCACCTTAAGTGCACTTTGAACATTAACAGCATATTAGTTTAACTCATTCACTGCCAGCCATTGGCAGTGAATGAGTTAAACCCATTGACTCATTCACTGCCATTGACGGCTATAGACGTCAATGGCAGTGAATGAGTTAAGGGTCTGCGACTGACACAAACAACACACTAAAATTTGCAAACCATTTACCTCGAATTACTTTGCAATAGCTACTATGACTTGAAAGAAATGCATATCCAGTAATATCATTGATTAAATGTAAATTTACATAAATCACCTGTGGCTGATGAAGAAGACAGAAAAGATCCCAGGTGTACTTACTCCAGGTATTTGGCCCAGTACTCCGGCTCGGACATGGCCATGAAGCAACAGTTTGTCAGGATGGTGCACATGATGAACAAGCTGAATAACGTGAACAGGTTAAGGACTGAGAAGATTTCCCATCAGACAATAAACACTTTACATTTGAATCAGAGTTCAGTACAAAGCCCACACTGTGTGGAGAAATCAAGACTAGTGGCATCAAATGTGGGAGTGACTCCTGCTACTATATCTGGGTCCTGCTGTCTTCTTACGTAGCCTGTTGTACATTATAGAGGGATTCCCAACAAGAAGTAGAAGTACTCCAAGTTTTCAATATAACTTTAGCTTCGAGCTACACCTGTAAAAGTGGAAACGGTCCCATAATCCCATAATTTACTATAGTTGCTCCTGGTATACTGCTATATACACCAGCATGATACTGTATTAAACCCAACTGCTTTGCCTGGGAAAAAATGTCTGGTTACTTGTCACAGATGATTTAGTTTGTTTCCTGTGTGTGTCCTTCAGAAGGAATGGTAGCTGATCAAAAGAAGCACTCGGGAGTATCTTTTGGAGAGAAAACATACCAAACACAACTATCTAGACAACATGGAAGTGGTTTGTTTGGCAGAGACTGGCAACCAGGAGAGTGAGCAGCACAGCCAACAAAGCTGAGGAGAGAAGCTGAATTATCAAGCGTATTATGTTAAAAAAAAATCTAAAAGAGCAGATTGTACAACCTGAAATATTTTTGTCTGTGTTTTAAACTTTATGTTAAATAAGTCATTTAGATACTCATGATAAAGAATCAGATATTTTAATCCAGGTGAACAGATCAACCATCAGCTCCTCCCAGGTGTTTCAACCTTGATATGTGACTTTAATAAGGCCCCAGTCACCCAGGCCTAGTGACCAGTCACCAACTCCCTACCAGCACCCAGTCCCCAACTGTTTGGCAGCTGGTTGCTGAAGGTTGCTTGTCATCAGGTGAAATTGTTCACAAAAGCAACCAGACCCCAGTCACCCATCACATGGACTCTTCACCCTCCTGCCCTCTGGGAGGCGCTACAGGAGCCTCCGGACTAAGACCACCAGGTACCGGAACAGCTTCTTCCCCACAGCTGTCAGACTCCTGAACTCTGCCTCCTGACATCTGACCCACGTTAACACATGGACTGAACATACACACACACACAATGGACAACTGTACCCTCAAACACACAATAATAACATGGACTGAACCACCACTCACAACCACCAGCACTTTATACAGCCTCTGTAGGAATTATCCACATATCTCAGTTATCTTAACTGCTCTACTGTCTAAATAATCATTCTGTACATACGATAATTTTTAATTCTACAACTGTTTATAACCTGCATAGTTCACATTTCTCTATAGCTTTTTATTTCATATTCTTTATAGTTTTTCATATTTATATCATGTTCATAGCCTGTACATACCTATAGTTATAGCATATTCATAACATACTTCATACCGTGTACATTATAACATACCATAATAGACCCATTTCTGTAATATACTCACATATCTATATTATTGCTAATATATATTGTAATATATCTATATCATGGCTAAAGCACTTCTGGATGGATGCAAACTGCATTTCGTTGTCTTGTACCTGTGACATGTGCAGTGACAATAAAGTTGAATTCTATTCTATTCTAAATGATAGTTCTTGAGTTTGTGTTACAAAGCTCTTGATAAACAGCCTGGATGGGATAAACAGTCAGATATTTTACCTGCAACAACCTTAAATTTGCAAATAGTCTTGTAAAGTTTGTTGGCTGGACAGAGGTCGAAATTTAGCACAGAGAACAAAAGAGAACTGCGAGAGAGTCAATTTAGTATACTTTTCTGTGATTTTCAGCTCCTAGTCAGTGCGGATAAAAGCAGCAGCTCAAATGTAAAATGGAAATGTCTTCAGTGTGACGCTGGTGATCAAGGAACCGAGGCTTTTATGACTTGTTCTCTCATTGTGAGTCTCTCTGGAGTGTGTCAGCTAAACGGCTGAAATGTAAGTGTAAAAATGTCTCTTTTTGCCACAACATGCTGAAGTGATTTTACATGTGCCTTTTTTTTAAATACCTTTCACTGATTTCCCATTAGGGCTTAAATAAAGATGAAGTGAACTGAAAGGCTGTGTCGAGTTAGCATGTGTGTTTCAGCGCTCCCCTCCAATGCCTGCCACATTCAATACAGCAAATTAATATGCCATTAACAGCGGCGATGGGAGGAAAGGCCCACTCTTGTCTAATCATCATGTAATGGGGAGCAGTAACTTTCCAAACTGTCAGAAGGCAACAGTACATGTTAAATATCAGCTTCACCTGCCACGTTCAACACGCCGCGCACGATGAGGTGGGAGAGACTTCATGAGACCTCACTCAGCTGTCAATCACAGCTATAAATGAATCATAATTATTGTAATTTGGCAGAAGGAACATACTCCCTGTGTGAAAGCGGCCCAAACTCCAGCTGAAACTTGTTTGAGCGGCGGGGTAATTGTTGATTGAGTGCCGGCTGTAATGATGTTGCTGGAGCGTTGTGGCAGGCGGCGAGATAATACTGTTACCAATTGACAAACAACACAAATGTCCCCTCACCGCCGCCGCCGCCGCCACAGAGCCAGAAGCTAATTATGGGGTAATGATAGACCTGCTGTTATGGACTTCCCAGGCCACCATACTGGTAATATCATTATACCTCCCACACCCACCACGGGATCTGTCTTCCTGTCTATAATCTACCCCGGTTTTATTTTTTCTCTCCCTCATTCCACATTTGTCCATCTCCGCCATTCTTCCCTCATTTTTTCTCTCCTTCAGTTGAGCTGTCCAGTTAAACATATGCCACTGCCTGTCCTAAAGGCTTTTATTTTGAAAGAGGGGCTAGGAAGAGGAAATTCCAAATGGATAAACTCCGAAGAGTTCCACAGCATGTCTTTTATTCTGACTTCATTCTGTCACCCCAACTGGTCACAGCAGATGGCCCCGCCCCTCCCTGAGCCTGGTTCTGCCGGAGGTCTCTTCCTGTTAAAAGGGAGTTTTTCCTTCCCACTGTCGCCAAAGTTCTGCTCATAGGGGGTCATATGATTGTTGGGTTTTTCTCTGTATGTATTATTGTAGGGTCAACCTTACAATATAAAGCACCTTGAGGGGACTGTTGTTGTGATTTAGCACTGTAAAAATACATTCTAATTGAATAGAAGAGAAAAGCAAAATGATCAACTGTCATGATTAAAACAAATCATTAAAAAAATGATGTTTAGGTTGCCTCAAAAGCTAATATAAAAAAATAAAGGTCCTAACTTTGGTCATAATATATAAGAACATATCAGAATATTGTTTTTATTGATTTGTTCTCCCAACGTTTTGATAATCATGAAATAAAGAAAATAATTATTCTGACTGATATGAATCACTTTTTCTTTCCAAAACGCAATTCTCCAAAATATAGGGTGAGGATTGGGTTACCAACTATGATGACTTGGACTTCAGAGGTTTAACAGACATGACTTTAAAGCTCACACAAATCCACAACAACAACTCAGCAACAACACACAACAAACACAAAGCTTATTGACTCACTTTGGTTCAACGTGAACACAATTAAAACACAACGGCACTGCAGCTGGTGGCTGCAGAGCAGCTCTGAGTCCCACAGCAATGCCTCATGGGATGCAAAAATCAAATGACTGTCCTCAGGAGCAAGGCCCCATGGGAAATAACACGGTTTGCCTTCAGAAAAACACAATCGCTGTATTCTAATATCACAGCGGTTCATGAGTGTATTTGTGTGTGTGTGTGTCCACCTCAAACAGCAGCTTGTCATAGTGGCGCCACTGTGGTTGGGCACAAATCCAGAACACACTTGATCACACACAAACACTTCTAAAGCACAAACACGTACTAAAACTCCACTTCAGCACCGCAGCTTGTACCCTTACATCGTGCACCTCCTCCACACAACACACACTAATTTTTATTTCATCTCTCAGAACAGCACGCACACACAACGTGGACATCAGCAGCGCCGCACCTCCATTGATGACCTCTTGAACCCACTTATTCCCCTGACAACAGCAGCGTGTCCGCCAGCTCAACGTCTCTCAACACCAGCAGCCGCCTCCCACGGTAAAAATAGACGGGTGTGAGGTGAGGATAAGGGGGGTGGGTTGAGTTTTGGGTGTGAAGTAATAGCTGTCATGTTGGCCTGGCGTCTGGGGCCTGAGGCGGACGCCAGCGTGGAGCTGGTGCACGGGCGACGGGCCAAAAACCCACAGCTATAGCCTCTAACTTCGAAAGTCAGTAAAGCGTCCTAAAGTACATCTAGATTCACATTTAATATCAGCCCCTGCACTCAACTAAACAATCTATCCACAATGGAAGCAGTTATCATCTGCAGTCTGAAATTAACTAGATAACTAGCTGAAAGTGCCTTAGAACTGCTACCCTCCTGATGTCCAGCAGGGGGCGAGTCATTTGGTATGGAAATCTATGAGAAAACGAGCCTGCTGCTCAACTTGATCTCTGACCTCAGTGAATGCTCTCCTGATGAATTTATGGTCTTAATCTGTAGTTGAAAGGCTTATTAAATAAAAAACAAATGTTTCATTTGTAAATTATGATGACATTTAGAGCAGAGAATGCTTAAAGATGGGAGCTTCCTTCAGAGTGTGCCATGTCCTCGGTGTGTCACTCAGTTCCTCTCGTTCATGGCATCAAATGGAAACCAGACAGGATATGACTCATTGTTGCAGTTTAACCCTGACCAACATAAAGCCCAGTTTGATCATACGTGGTACCAACCAGTAAAACCAGTAGGGAAAAAGCTGACTTTCGTGCATCGTTTAGAATTAAAGGTTCACATCTAATGACGGTATCTTAATTTCAAGGCGATGTTAATTTCATATTACATGTTTTTACAGTCCTCAGTGGAGCTGCAAAACCTTCACGTGTAGCTTTATTGTTGCTACCAGAAACCAGCATTAATAATTAATTAGATTGAAAATTTAAAGATATTCAATTCTTCAAAGCAGCTTTCACACTTTGAAAATCTTTCCAGTAGTTTGGATTACACACTT